GATGAATTTGAGCAATCACAAAAGGAGCTCAAGAGACGCCGTGATGAATTTGAGAGTTTAGCCGAGAAGTCATCCCAGGAAGCTGAAGAGACACGCTTAGCAATGAGCGAACTCCAGAATACTTTAAACAGTACTGAAAAACAACTCCGTGTCGCCGAGAAACAGAAGGCGGATACTGGAAAACTTCTCGAGGACGCCAATCAACGATATGAGAAACTTCAAAAAGAAGTCAAATTATTGCAGACGAAAACATCCAGATTGAACGACGGTTCTTCGAGAACAAGTATGGATTCGGGAAGATCAAAGAGCCCGGCTAATGGCAGGAAAGATGCTGTTGTCGACCCACAGACAGACGTTAAATACACAAAGGCGGTTTTGTTGAGCTTTTTATTGGAGAAGAATAAAAAGATTCAGGAGAATTTGATCACGTCGATTCTGAAATCGTTATTCCAGTTGGACAAGTATGTTTGACCCCTTTTCTTGAATTTATCTATTTGGAATCAAGGGATAGTTTGCTAATGAATTGAATTGTAGAAAGGATCAGGAACAATGGATTGCGGCGATTGGGACTTGGAGGTGATGGATCTGATTTGTTTTGGTGGAAGGAAGGTAGTTTGATTTTCGTTATGACTCGAGCGGTGGTGGTATTTTTTAAATGAAGATTTGTATATTAGAGGGGTTTTGGGGAAGTAGGGTTGGGTGGGATTCAGGACTGGGGTTGGTTAGAGGGTGGTGAGGATGGATAGAGATAGAGGTGGGAGAATATTCTTGATTGGGGAGATGAGGAGAGGTGAGATTAGAGAGGTTGAGATGAATATCCAGAATAGGATGTTCTTGAATGATTATGAGGATAGAAAGGAAGGAATCAATGTTATATATCATTGTGTAGGTGTAGTGCCTAGTATTCATAGTATTTTTAGAAACACTATGCGTATACAGATTATACAAATTACACAAATACACTTCCATCATACTAATACTTGAATACTCAACCAATCTACCTACTCCACATTCCTCCACTCCTTTCTCGCCTTAAACCCAAACATCTTCACCGCCGCTTCCAAACTCCTCTCAATCGTCGCACTCCCATATTCCCTCATCTCCTCTTCGTAGATTTTGATTCCATCTTTCACACCCCTTTCCTCAAGCAACCGCACGAGATTCCCCGCATCGCGCAACGCGGTTACGCAGCCTGATGCGCCGGTGGGAGGCATGGCGTGGGCGGCGTCGCCGAGGAGGGTGATGGTGGGGACGGTGGGCCAGGTGGGGAGGGGAGAGGGGTGAGTGGAGATGGGGAGGAGGGAGGTTTGGGAGGGGGATTGGTGGGTGAAGAGGGGGCGGAGGGAGGGGTGGAAGTGGGAGGTTAGGGATTGGGAGAGCGGGTGGGGAGGGAGGGGGGTGGGGAGGCGAGCGAGATCGGATTCTTGGGTTGAGGTTACCCAGTAGATGTAAGGGTGGGGGAGGGCGATGGGGAGGGGGAGGGGAGTGGAGGAGGCGGTGGGGAGTTTGAAAGTGATGGGTTCGAGGAGGGTGGTGGAGGGGATGGGGCCGTGGGGATCGCGGATTATGGACATGCTTTTGAGCATTTCGGGTGGGAATGTGTCTGTGAGTTCGGGGGAGAGAGGAGTTTTGCCATAGATGATACGACCGCCTGTGTCGAGGGGAATGTGGGATGGGAGGAATTGTTTCCTAACGCGGGAGTGAACGCCATCGGCGCCGATGAGGAGAGTGCCGGTTGCGGAAGTGGTGTCCGAAAAGGTGATGGTTATGGAGTCGCTGTTGTTTGTCGTGTAATGGGAGAATTCTTTTCCAAAGGAAACGTGATTTTCCAATCCCGTCAGGAGTACATCGCGGAAGACGCGACGGTCAACTGTACGAGCATTTCGAAACATGGGAGGGGCTCCTTTGCCAAACTGTTGGGGTTGAGGAGGAAGGATTTCGCCCGTCAGAGGATCTGCTTGGGAGCCGGGCCCTAGACGCATTTCGGCGCAGGTGTCTTCAAATAATTGATAGATGTCATCGGGTAGGCATTGTTGGAGGGCATCAGTTCCTTCGGAATGAATCCGGATTCGATAGCCTTGCAATCTGTAATCTGATGCTTGGTCTCGCTCGTAGACGTGGAAATCTATGCCGGCTTTTTTGAGACCTTGAGCTAGACAGAGACCGCCGAGGCCGGCTCCTGCTATTAGGACTTTGGGTTGTGTCATTCGTGATTTGGTATGCTCGATGAAGGAGGAGGTACTTGTGATGTAGTTTAACGTGTTGCCAGTTTAACGCTGCAATGACATTGATGACGATGACGACAGCGATAATTCAAAGTTGAATTGAAATTATGAAAAAAGTTGAGAAGTCGAGGAAGCCGATGTTGAAAGTATTTGTACTCTCCCTATATCCCTACATCAAGGTAGAACTATTCCTCGAATAGACATCTCTGTTGCCTGCTGCACATATGTTAAATCCGTATTGTGACGATAACAAATCGGTGCCGTCGACATAAAGTCGGTCCCGTTTTAATACACGGAACCGATCTAGCTTGTGCATAGGAAGGGATTGCAGGGACAATGACACCGAGATGAAGTGAGCTTGGATCAGATGGTGCTTGAAGACATCAAGATATCAGTATCGTATGTCCGGCCGAGAAATCACCGTGGATATAAGCTGTTTGGGTGTATGATTGGGTTGCGACACTTGTTGCTCGAAAGACTTGGACATATATAAACTGATATAAACCTCTCACATCCAACTGACTTAAGTTATTGGAGAAGTTCTAATTATTCAGATCATCTTTGGGTCATGAGCGACTTTCACATGTCAGGTGCACCTTGTCCGTGTGTCTTGGAATCAATTTGGACGATTTTGATTTCGAATGGCCACACTCATGGTATTTCTAACCACCTAAAACCCATTTGGAAATCAATCACCAAATCGGCCCAAAAACACGGATATCCTCATTAGGAAGAGATGACATAGGTATTGTGAAATTTTCAGGTCACGCCTAGATAATAAAAAGTCTGTGGTGTACTTTCCTACCTAACATCTTATCAAATGAGATGATGCGATGCGATGCGGCAAAAGCTGTAGTCCACGCTTTCCAGCACGTTTTTGCATTCTGGACTGGACATGGAAGAGGTGGTTGCTTTTGTGGTCATGCATTTTCTTTGCTTTTTCGACATTTTTTCAGCACAGGGCTGGCTGGGCTGGGCTGGGTATGTCTTGGATTGCCCCTCTTCGGATGTGAGATTGAGGGGCAAGGCTTTGATTTGAGGATTTTAGGATCCATCATCGGAAGGGGTGATGGAGAGATGGATATCTTTCTGTTGTTGTGTGGCGGATTATTCGAGGAATGAAGATGTCACATAATTGATGGATTGGAAAGGATTGGGAAGGATTCCGGGATCGGTGAGGTTACTGGTGTGGCTTGTAAATTGATGGAGAAATGGAACAGGGATGCTATGCAGTGACAGCATCGATGGCGGGTTTTCTTTATGAGGGTAGAGGTTTCGATGTGTTTGATGGGTATACTGGATGTTAATAGATATGGGGATTCAAGTGAACGGGTTGAGCAGATATGGAATGAGGAGATGAATTATTTTGATCGACTTGGACGAGCGATGAATGAGTGTTGCCCAGGTGAGTGTTGAATGTACGGAGGAGGAGTGAGGGGTACATTCTCGCTAGTACGAATGGAAGTGCTGTGTAGCATTCCAATTTGAAGTCTTTAGTTCTTCGTTTTTATATTGAGTCTTGAAATTTATAGAGAGAATTAGATATTAGTAACTCTATTTGAAATGAAATGTATACAAGCATTAATATCCAGGCACGAAGAAAGTTATCATCTATTGTACGAGTAGGTAGTAAGTAGATAGATAGATCGACATCTCAAGTGATATTTTATTTACGCTTTTACCCCTCCTCCTTCCCTTCTCCCCTCTAAGATGGCGTTCCCGAAGCCCCTTTAGTCCACCAGTCTGAAGAGATTAAGTTGTTGAATTGCCGCTCCCCCATACTTTCTTTGGGTTTGGAGGGAATGCCCAGGTGATTCTAGGTACTCCTAGGGGTACTCCTAGGTAGGTAACTCGATGATATCCGAATTTATCCAAGTCTCCATTCGTGTTCAACAATCTAGATTCGATTGTAGTTGAAATCTAGACACTTTCAGGTTTTGGACATTGCAGGTGGTATTTGATCTTTTGAGCATAATAGCCAGGCATTAGATAGAATTTATGATTTTAACAGAATTTAGCAAATTCGATTCATCATCACATCATCACATCATCACATCATCCATGAAAATCATCTAACTGGAGGCTCCGGCCTTTCAATCTTTCTATCCTTTCCTCTTCCATCCTCCCCCATCCCATCCCCTCCTATCCATGATCTATCTCAATCCATCTCTTATCCATCCATACCTACTACATTCAATATACGGCCAAAAACTACTACACCGTATAATAGATATCCTTCTCTCCTTTCATTCAGCCTTCTTCTCAATAATCCTCTGCAGCTTGATCCATTCAATTGATGTAATGCTCCATAATTGATTCACCGAAATCTTGATGTGTACCAGGCGGTATATGGATTTTGAATGGAATGAATTGGGATATTTATGATTGATGGATTCTTGATTCTTGATTCTTGTTCTTGTTCCTGTAAACGGACATTTATTATTTTTCTCTTTACTTGGCTATATTTCAATTCCTTCCGATATCTTGATACCTTCCCCCTCTCATCTTATACACCCCTTATATATTAGTTATTATCATTAGGAACTTTTACCATATATATTTATATATACTTAAACCCAGATAAATTACCTAGATTGTATTACATTACTAGGTATTCTTTGACCATTATCGATTCTTACCTACCTCCCTGTCCATCTACCTATTACTCTATAATTAATCACATCAATCCAATAGGAGGTATAGATGATATTATATATTACCTACATTACCTACATTACCTACATCACCATCTAGAAAGATCAATCTGAGATTTAGATTCAAAACCACCTCTAACCAACCATCTTTCAATTGTTGCTAAAGAGGCAAAGATTCGAGAAAATCAATTCATCAAAACCATCTGGACTGGCTGGACTGGGACTGGCTGGGCACTCAAATCGCCTAAGAAAAGAATATACGGAGTACATACTGTGATGGGTGGGAACATACCTAGTCGCTACCTATCCTACCTACCTATGTACAGTACAAATACATGGATGGATAGAAAGGCTCGACAGGACAGGAAACGACTTACTAGGTAAGTTTATTTATTTTTTGGGTCGAAGCGCCCCCCTCCTATCAATTCGTCATAAGTCGGCGGGAAGCAAAGCAAGCAAGCAAGTATAAGCAAGTAAGCAAGCAAGTTAAAATTTGACTATCCACTCACTGGAACTCCTCCTCCTCCTCTTGATTACTCAAGTATCAATTTACGACTAGGTACTTGATATTAGTACTATTTTACTACTATTTTACTACGATACGATACTATTGATACTGTTACTACTATTACTGCCACCACCACCTCAACTCCCATTTCCATCTCCACCTCCACCTCCACCTCCTCCACCACCTGTAAATAAAATACTCAAGACCTTTTTGGAAAATATTACCCAGCACCGGCCTGCTAGCTAGGTACATATATGGGAAACAGTTTACATCTGCCCGCCTGTCTATCTACCTGCCTGTCTACTATCTACCTACCTATCTACCTAACTATCTATCTATCTATTACTAGTTATCTATACCTATACCTACCTATCACTGCTACAACAACAACTACTCCTACTACATCTATTCCTACACCTCTTCAATCGATTCCATTAACTTCTTCACCTCCTACTACTTTCTCCTTCCTCCTACCTCCTCCCTCCTCCCTCTGACCTCTGACCTCTGACCTACCACCCACCTCCACTTCCAAATCCACTCATAAACAACTCCACCAACCAGACTAAATACCACTACCAATACCAATACCCTTTGACTATCTATCATCCACACCCCTTCTCCCTCCGAATCCTTTCCCTTTCTCCATCAACAAAACCGGTCAATCAATCAATCAATCACTCACTCGCTCAATCCACTGCAAAACAATTCACCAATACACTACTACCCTCCAAATTCCACCCCAATTTCACACTAACCCACCATCTAACCACCACCACCAACCCACAACCGAATAATGAACGGCGATCGGATAAAGGCGTCTGCAATTGCTAAAGCGAAAGAATCGATAACTAAAAATTCAAATGCGCATGCTATGAAAAAAAGAAAGAAAGACTCATTGAAGCCAATCATCACAACCGAGCAAGACTCTGAATCTTCCAAAATGGCTTCTGCTCAAGCCCGTGCAGGGTAAGTCACCAAAAATGTCCCACTTTCTGACCTTCCAACCCTCCTTCTGTGTCTAAGGTGCAGCGCCTCAAAATATAAACCACCCTCCCCTCCAACAAGGTCGCGCAAAAATGCTGCTGCACTCTACTTAGTTTCATTCACGATGATGAGTTCAATGCTTCAAAACTTGCTGACTAGAATCGATGATGGAAATAGATCCGCTTCGGGAACAAATCGCGATCCGTCATCCTCTTCCTCGAGAGAAGACGCTGCAGAAACGACGGCAGACGAAGAAGACTCTGAAGATTACTGCAAAGGAGGTTATCACCCCGTACAAGTCGGTGAAAACTTCAAAGATGGCAAATACACCGTGGTTCGAAAGTTAGGATGGGGTCATTTCTCAACAGTATGGCTTTCCAAAGACAACGTCACTCAGAAACATGTTGCTTTGAAGGTTGTACGATCTGCAGCGCATTACACGGAAACGGCCATAGACGAAATCAAATTACTCAATAAAATCGTGGGTGCTAAGCCTGATCATCCAGGTCGAAAGCATGTGGTTAGTTTGTTGGACTCGTTTGAACACAAGGGTCCAAATGGCACACATGTCTGCATGGTCTTCGAGGTTCTGGGAGAGAATCTGTTGGGGTTGATCAAAAGATGGAACCACCGCGGAATTCCCATGCCTCTGGTTAAACAAATTACAAAACAGGTTCTGTTGGGTCTGGATTATCTACATAGGGAGTGCGGCATTATACATACAGATTTGAAGCCCGAGAACGTCCTGATAGAAATCGGAGATGTGGAACAGATTGTGAAAACATTCGTCAAGGAGGATACGAGTAAGGACAAGGAAGATAATAGAAATGGCCGAAGGAGACGGCGAACTCTCATTACTGGAAGTCAACCTTTACCAAGTCCGTTGAATGCCAGCTTCAACCACGCAGATTTGATGAGGTTTCCTGGCAGTAATCCAGGTTCCCATGGAAGTATAAATGAAATGCTCAATAATAGTAAATATGCTCCATCGGAAATCCCTGGCAATGGACAGCAATCTAATGGTTGGTGCAATAGGTCGTTCGAACAATTCTTCACCTCAAAAAGAAAAGGCAGACGAGGAGAATCACGGGACAAGAGAAAAGACTGCGTAAGTAGTTACCTTCATGTCATCATATACCGCCCCTAACTTGATTCTAGCGATATCCTCACAGATAAGGTCTCGGGCATATCACTCGACAAAAATTCGGGCGAAAAGAAGAAGGCAGAGGATGCAAACCAATTCGATATCATATCAGTCAAAATTGCCGATTTGGGAAATGCTTGCTGGACTGGACATCACTTCACAAATGATATTCAAACGAGGCAATATCGATCACCGGAAGTTATACTGGGCTCCAAATGGGGTGCTTCTACAGATGTTTGGAGTATGGCTGCTATGGTATGTTGATGCACTTGCCCTTTCCCAACACTATAGCTGATTTTTACAATCATTAGGTCTTCGAACTTATCACTGGTGATTATCTTTTCGATCCTCAATCCGGGACCAAATATGGCAAAGATGACGATCACATTGCTCAAATAATCGAACTCCTTGGACCCTTCCCCAAATCCCTTTGTTTATCTGGCAAATGGTCACAAGAAATATTTAACCGAAAGGGCGAACTGCGAAATATCCACCGATTACGACATTGGGCCTTGCCGGATGTCTTGAAAGAAAAGTACCATTTTAAAGAAGATGAAGCGAAGAGAATTGCGGAATTCTTAACTCCCATGTTGGAGTTGACACCGGAGAAGAGGGCAAATGCTGGAGGAATGGCAGGTGCACCGTGGTTGGAAGATACAGCCGGTATGAAAGGGGTGAAGATTGAAGGCTTGGAAGTAGGGAGCAAGGGTGAAGGAATTGAGGGGTGGGCATATGAAGTCAGGAAGAGATAAGAACTCGCGAGGTTCGAGAATGATAGAGTGTAGGAATTCCTTTCTCATGAAACTCAGGCGCAGATGATTGGGGTGGGTTGGGTGATGGGTCATCTGTTGGTGGTCATCTTATGGGATTGGATTCGCGCAATTAAAGTCTAGGGTGGATGGGATGGATGGGGCGGTGCCATTTGTCATGCATGTAGTATGGTATCACGAACCACGACTTTTTTTTTCTTCTTCACATATTGGTTTGAATGAGTCGTGAGATGAGATATGAGATGAGATGAGATGTTGGAGGTGGAGGTGGAGGTGGAGGTGGAAAACGACAATGGAAATGAGATGGGATGGGATGGGGATAGGATGCTATGGATGAATGTCTGTATGTACGTATGGATGAATGGTATGGACTGAACTGGGAAAGGAGGAATGAATGAATGAATGAATGGATGGATGGATGGATTCTTGGGAGGAGGATAGGTAAAGGGAAAATTTATATGATGTGAAGGAGATAATTATCGTGTCTTGATATTGAATGCACTCTTGATAAATGATGATGATTGATTTGAGAGTGGTGAGTGGTGAGTGGTGAGTGATGAGTGATGAGTGGTGAGTAGTAAGTAGTGAGTGGTGAATGGTGAGTGGTGAGTGGAGGATGTTTTAGCTTATGGGGTGTTGGGATAGGTTGGTAGGTAGTTAGTAGGTAGGTAGGTAGAAAATATACAGGATGATTTTTAGATGGTTGTATATGTATGGATGTATTGGATGAATATGTTTGATCTGGATGTGGATGGGGATGCGGATGGGATTATTTGGATGTATGAGTTTGGATGTGTGAGTTTGTTAGTGTGAGCATGTTAGTGTGAGCATGTTAGTGTGAGCATGTTAGTATGAGCATGTTAGTGTGTATGTGTGTGTATATGTGTGTATGTATGTGTATGTGTGTGTATGTATGTGTATGTGTGTGTATGTGTGTGTATGTGTGTGTATGTGTGTGTATGTGTGTGTATGTGTGTGTATGTGTGTGTATGTGTGTGTATGTGTGTGTATGTGTGTGTATGTGTGTGTATGTGTGTGTATGTGTGTGTATGTGTGTGTATGTGTGTGTATGTGTGTGTATGTGTGTGTATGTGTGCTTTACGATATGTAATATGTAATTTGATTCGAGCTGATGGGAGGAGGGAGGAGGGAGGAGGGAGGAGGGAGGAGGGAGGAGGGAGGAGGGAGTAGGGAGTAGGGAGTAGGGAGTAGGGAGTAGGGAGTAGGGAGTAGGGAGTAGGGAGTAGGGAGTAGGGAGTAGGGAGTAGGGAGTAGGGAGTAGGGAGTAGGGAGTAGGGAGTAGGGAGTAGGTAGGCTGGCTGGATGTTTTCTTTTTTTGTTGTTTCGTGCTTGGTGTTATGTGTAGTATACGCATATACACACACACACATATATAATATAAAGTACGCTAGCATATAAAATGAAATAACAAGCTAGCATTGCACTTCCTTCACGACTCCTAACTCCTTGACTCCTGTGCTGGCTAATATTGTGGTATCTAAGTAGGACGATATAAAGAACCTGCTTCGTGCATTCCCCACCCACCCATCCACCCATCCATACATCCATGTATTCTGGTCTCTTTCCTCTCCTATCCTTTCTTTTCCTTTCCCATCCAACCTGCCACCAAAATATCAAGAAACTATCCCAAGCCATGTTTGATCTCGCTACCCCTGATTACCCAAGTAAAACTCTATTCCAAATATCTCCTATCTCCCTTACTTGGACTTCTCCCCTTACTCCTCCCGCGATTCTTACTCGGACTCCTCTCGATGGTTTTAAATTCCATTTCGCGCTCCCGATTTCCAAAAGTGCTTCTCTGGAATAGAGCTCTTTGAGCAGTTCCTGCTCCGGTGGGCCAGGGTTCGTAAGGACCGAAATGTGATTGAGGGGTTTGGGGGATGCCCCAGGGATTGGGTTGCCCGAAATAGTTGGGGTGTTGGGGGAGATGTTGCTGAGGGTGAGGTTGGGGTTCGGGGTGAAAGATGGGGGGTTTAGAACGGAACATTCCAAAGGCCATGTTGTTTACGGCGATGGAGAGGGTGAAGATTAGGGCGACGAAGATCTAGAGGTGGTTGTTAGTTTGCGGATAGAAGAGGAGGTAGGGGGTTGTAGGAATGAGCGTACCATGGCCTTATAGCTGATAGGCTGGATGAAACTATCCAAAATCTCTGCGAATGTTTTCGCACTGATTCTAGCTCTTCCGACAGCGTTGGGATCCATAGACATACAGGCATCCCAGTTATTACAGACAGTTTCTAAAGCAGGTAGTCTCATGCTTGGTTCACATTTATTTTCTGTGTATTGTTTTGCGCAGTTGGCCATCTCGGATAGAACTTCCGCGGTGGCTTTTTGAGATGCTTGATCAACGTCGCTTCGGATTGTAGTCCAGAATGTGTAAACCCCAAACATTATTAGTCCGACGACGAAAGTGTTGAGCGTTAATTGAGCGTAGTAAGAGAGAATGTTTGGAAGATTGGGTCGCGACTCGATACCAGATAGGAAGGAGGAGAACCAGCCTGGTGTGTTGCCCGCTTGCCTTCCTTCGGTCGATCGACTATTTTGTCTTGAATCTCCTGATTCGCTCTCTGACTCCGAAGCCGATTCCTTCCTGTGATGTCGCACTATCCCCATCGTTTCATCTTCTCGTTCATCCCGATGCTGACGCTTTCGCTTTTTAGCTATAGGTTGACCTCCTAACTTCATTCTGCGCAAATCATTACGAGCGCCAGGACTGGTTCCTTTGTAGTTTGTGCCATATTTGCCAAATAGCGGTTTGCGTGAAGAAGCGTTTGATGAGAAAGCCGTCATAGTTTTGCTGGAGGTTTTGGGTACTTCAGGTGTATCTTCTGCGTCGGCAGTCTCGCCGGGGGAAGATTCAATTCCCGAAGCTTCGGAATATATATCTGAATTGTATGGTTTGCGGGGTGTTGTGAATGCTGGATTTCGAAATGCTGGAGCTGGTGTGGAGTTCTGTGCCAGAAAAGAATTGGTTGGTTTGGCAGAATCTAATTGCCTTATTAGTACACATGTTACTGTTTGTTCGATGGTACGAAAGTGAAGATACTCACTGTTATCAAGCTGCATAGCTTTGAATTGTAGAAACGGTGATTTTGGATCCATAGGGCCACCTTTCTCTTGCCATTCAAAGTCCATAGGACCTTCACCTGTTCTTCTAGAAGTATTACTCCACATTGTATTTCTTTGCTCGTTGATAGCAAAATCTGGAGCTTAAACGTGAAGATATGGGGAAGTGAGGTGATACGGCATCTAGAAAATCCAAAGTAAACAAAGAATCGTCGCTCCTGAGGCAACCAAGATTTTTCCGATTCAACACTAACCTTAACATCCACTAGCTGGATTTGACAAAGCTTCAATTAATATACAACTTCAGCTTGGTACAACGCGGGTTGCGACGAAACAATTCATATAATTTCTGCGCATCTGTTCAATTCTACAACAACCACTACGACTCGATATCGATACCATATCGGCAATCGGCTTCCGATTGAAACGCGGATAACAGTTTGAAACAATTCGACATTCGATAGATAATAATACAAGCTTCCTTTGTCCTTTTTCACAATCTGCAAATATGTCGGATTCCGACCTCAACTCAAGACCTACCACACCCCTCCCAGAAGCTGGAAACGATGCTGGAGATCCAAACAGGCCCATTTCACAAGAACGAGATACACCAGAACCTCCTGTGGCCAACCCAGATCTCGATATGGATGATTTAGATAATGCAGAGGATGGCGGCGCTGGATCCGATAATGAATCTGATCTTTCTGATGTCGATGAAGCCAATTTTGATGATTTCGATGCAAGTAAGGTTGCTTTAGATGAGAGACCCATGGTTGGTATCGATGAAGATATTGCGAAGACGTTGAAGGCCAGTAAGCGCAAGCGTGCGGAAGGTGAAGCAAAGAAACCAAAGGAGGGAAAGCGAGACAAAAAGAAGAGGCCGCGCAGAGACTCAGATGAGGATCCCGATGGAATGGAGATTGATGGAAAGAGAATCAGAAAGCCCAAGAGGGTTGAGGGTGAGGGAAAGGATAGGGACAGAACCAAGGAACGAAGAAAGGCAACACCAGAACCAGAAAATGATGAAAATCTTACGCCAGATGAGAGGAGACGTAGAGCTTTGGATAAGGCTATGGATGCTGCGCTTAAGAATCCGAACAAGAGAAGAAGAAAGAAGGACGAAGTGGTATGTACATGTTTTCTGTCGTGAAAGATATTGAATCTAACTTTGTGGCAGGATTTGGAAGAAGCTTTTGATGATGAAATTGCAGCTTTGAAGCTTCGAATGGAAGAAGCATGTCAAGCCGATAATGCTGCTCGAGATGCCAATTTACCCGCAACTAGAAAGCTTGAAATGTTACCAGAAGTGGTCGCGCTTCTCAACAGAAACACCATTCAACATTCCATCGTCGACCCCGATACCAACTTCCTGCAGTCCGTCAAGTTTTTCTTGGAACCACTAAATGATGGAAGTCTTCCGGCATACAATATTCAACGTGATCTCTTTCAAGCACTAGCGCGTTTGCCGATTGAAAAGGAAGCACTTCTAAGCAGTGGGATTGGTAAGGTCGTTCTATATTACACGAAGAGCAAGAGGCCAGAGATTCAAATCAAGAGAATCGCTGAAAGATTATTGGGAGAATGGTCACGACCAATTTTGAAGCGAAGTGACGATTATAAGAAGCGTAAGGTCGCGACAAAGGATTATGATTTCCAGTATGTATATTCAATTCAACACATGTTGTATCTACTAACATCCACTTCAGAGCCGCACAACTTGCGATCCGTCCTTCCGGCTCTCAATCTTCGCAAATGCCTTCCTCCCAAAGAACACAACTCACGGCTCGTGATATTGAGCGTCAACGTCTTCTCGCACCAAAAGTCATTAGCAACAGAGCTAGAATGGAAACTTCAAATACCAGTTATTCGATCGCTCCTAGAAGTAACTTCGACCCAAGTAGAGGGTTGGATCCATCTTCCAGGCCTATTGGTGCGGGTGGTGTAGACGCTTTTAGAAAGATGACGGCGAAACAGGGGAAGAAGAGGTAATAAGGTTGACTGTGCAGCTGTGACGATCGTGCTATTCAGGGGACTTGTATTATTGAATGAAGGGAGAAAGGAAGGTATGCAGGGCGTTTGTAACTTCGTCGGAATGCTAACATAAAGGACGTTTCACGGGTATCATAGGAAGGAATTAGGAAAGAACGAAAGAAAGATAATCATGCACACGCGGCATATACTAGGTAGTCATCTTAATCAAGGGGCCACAAAATTGAGAAATTCAAAATATCTATTCATCTCCTAGCGCATTTACTTGAATTTTCGTTTCTTTGTTCCCCGAGTGCGAATTGGAAAGTCGATTCGAGAATCAGATGATCCTCAGGAGATACTCGCATATACCCAGTGAGAAAATTCGGGTCCGAAAACGTCTTGAAGAGAGTTATTGACACATGCAAGGTCGCCGTTTCATAACAATAGATGGATGGATGAAGGATATAAAATACAACGTCTCATCGCATCGCATGAAATCTCATCTAATATTACAGTACCTTGATAATGCGATACCAGTTCCTCGTCTGTAACATTGTTTAAGCCCCCTTTTATACCGCACGCTTCGTATAGAATGAACTTCGTTTCTTGGAACAGAATGTATCTCCTGAATGTTTATTCACATAGGCGAAGTCCGTCTTACGAAATGTGAAGAGCTGAAGGTTGGGAAGATGAGGAGATTGTGAATAACGTGATTCGGATGCGAGGGATCCGAAAGTTACCTATGGAGCTGTTGGGAGGGAGGTGCATTCCGTAGTTTTCCGATGAAGGGTTATGGACGTAGTGGGTCTTTTAATATGGTGGATGTCTTATGTGTTTGGTTTTTGCGTGGTTGGCTGCTTCCGCGGTTTTAGTGCCGGTACTTGCTTTCGGCTTTTTTATTAGCTTGCGTGCTTGTCTTGCTGACGTGATGGGTGAGAGGGTGGCGTTGAAGTTGCAGATTGGAGGAGTACTACTCGAATTGCGGATGTGCGGATCACTTGCATTTTTGAACTAATGCTGCGCGGGTCGGGCCAGTTCTTGGGCTAAGTCGAGATGAGGGAGAAATGGATGTCATGTATGTCGGTAACTGCTAGCGGAGTCATGGATGGCAGTATGACATGGTGAGATGTAGGTAGTCTGTGTATATGTGGGAGCATGGACAATAGGTAGTCTGCGTATATGTGGGAGCATGGACAAAAGGATGCTGTTATTAGGGGATAGACAATAGCAGTTTGTTGGGTGTTGATCGTTAGATGAGCTCTCAGGTATTTTTGCATTCTGTTCGTTCCAGTGTTAGAGCGGAGAAACTTTGAGAGGAGATGAGTATCTCGGCTTTGCTAGGGAATTTGGATGATTAAAAGGGAAGCATGATTCTCAGCATAGAGGCTTAAGACGACGAACCCGGCTTGATGGCTGGTAAAACGTCTAAATCTTTATTTCTAGCACTAGAGTATTCATTGCTGTATCGGCTTGAGTTAGTTAGTGAACGACAAGAGCACAGTATCACCATTTGAATGAAGTAATCACAAAAACTAGTAGATGCGGAGAGAGAAAATATGCTTGAGAATCTAATTTAGATTTTATTTTGATTTTTCTTCATCAAAATTTCCAGCGAACAAACAACTGTACTGAAATTTCTGAAAATTTTGTAGAAATTCCCGGGTATCCTTCTGCTGTTGCGCTAAATCCATCCATTCCTTTCCCTTTCCCCCACTAGTCCACAACGCCTGTTCCAAAATATCATGAAATTTTCGGTTTTTTTCCTGGAAAAAACCGCACCAAACACCATTTTTTCTTTTACAATTCTTGCTCCTTCCAAGTTTCCATTACCCCCTCCAACTTCAACTTGTAGAATTCGCAGCATTCATAATCTACGAGCCCCGCACTAGCGCTCACGATCCATATCTCCCTCTCTGCATTCCGTTGGTTTGTTGCGGGCCCCCATTTTGGGACTGACTGGACATGACCAACATTTCAAAGGCTTCGATGCGGGATTTGAGAGCTGCGTTTTCTTTTTGAAGGTATTTGTTGCGTTTCTCGAGGTGGTTGATGTATTCTGTTGCTTTAGATAATACAGTTGCCTGTTAAATTTATTAGATTCGAAGTCTCATCAAATCAGATGTCTGAAAGAGCATACCTTATTTAATTTATGTGCTGGTGTTAAACCTTGCAAATCTTCCTCCTCATCATCCCCATTAATATGCTCATCGCCATCTTCCTGTCCCCTCGAACATTTTCTGGTCATTACTCTCAAACTAGGTACACTGTCCCTTAGTAGAGCAATCTTATCATTCAAGTTCGTTCGGTATCGCTTCTCGATCATGTTATGGGCAGTCTTCTTGATAGGTGGATGACGGGCGGGTACCTCATCTTCACCGTCGGAATTCGAATCTGAAGAACAAGCTGATGATTTGCGTTTCAAGTTATTAGAATGATTTGAATTTGACATTGACTGGCGTGTGGGTCTGGAGATTGGAGAATGCGATGGCGAACTTCTGGATGAGGTAGGGGAAGTGGGATATGCAGAGGTGTTTTGAGTTTGTTGAGGCATAGCAATAGCGCGAAGTTGAATTTCTTCTTGAGGAGTGAGAGTAGGATTATAGAGTAAAGGCTGCTGCTGAAGATTGGGGATGGTTTGTGCGCGACGGAGGTTAATATTGGAGTTCATTTGGGGTCGTGCCCAGGATAGAGGAGTGGAGTATAAACCATCCCTAGATGGAATATCGATCATCGGCGAATTCATGAGATTGCTTGGTGTGGGTTGAAACAGTTGTTCTCCTGCGTCGACTAAATTATCGTCACCGAATACTGCCGCTTCGTCGATGCTAGAAAGATTGCGGGAGAGCTCGAGACCGCTCATATTAGGCGAGAGAGGCTCAATTTTGAGTTCTGGGAAGAAATCTGAGGTAGGTGACAAGGCTGCTTCACTTGGGTCGTCCCAACGCATCCAATCCTCGAAGGTACCAAAGTCAAATGCTTGACCTGTGGATGACTTGCGGTTGGTATTTTGGAATGGTTCTTCTTTTGGGAGTATGTAAGAAGGTTTGGAAAAAATCGGGTCGGATGAGGTTGGTGATGGAAGAATGGAGTCACAAGAGTCTGAGTTGTTGACGAGTGCAGGCTCACTATCCCAGTTGAATGGGGAAGTACTCTGCTATAAGAACTGGCTGTCAGTCAATGCTGCAGTGGGGTGATTGTTGAAGAGAAGACGAATAGAAAGCAACTGCAAGAGGTGGAGTTTATCCACATGACATATCCGAAAGAACCGGGTAACTTGGAGAAGTGCTCGCTTCGTAGCCATCATTGACTTCATGATGTTTTTGTATTGAAGGAATTGTATTCTACTTACTTCAGTTTGCTGCCGTGACAATGAGAAGTAATCGACGGCAGGCTTCTGGCAAATCACACTTGCCATTGGGGAGATTGATGATACCAGTTTGAAGTTTGAAGTAAGTCGAAACTTACACCTTGATAGTTATTATAGTTTAACTGGAGCTCTGAAAGAATATATCGGAGGCTATGTTGTCAAGGGAATGCCGAGGTTGTTAATACAAAGCCCGACAAAGGAAGTGATTGTGAGTAAGGTATTTGATAATATGGACGATGTAAAGGATTATCCTTGAAGTCAAATAACGTGTTCGATTTGGTGATAGTTTGATATCTTTATGATCTGGTTGTGGCGTAGAAATGTTGGTAGTATTTGGGGTATGGACCTTTAAATAGAATGGTAGAGGGGGGTGAATCCTCACAATTTTGATATAAAATTTGAAAAGTATCAATTTCTCGGAATGACCATGTGGTAAGAAGACGTTTCCAAACTTTCAAGCCTCAGTACCGGTTCATCTTCGTTATCATACGAGTATCACGATTTGTATGATGTGATGTTAGAATGAATTGTGGAGATCGAAGCCGAATCCAGACTTTATTTTTGTTCATTGAACGTAGGCGGGGGACTCCGGCAACATTGGAAGGTAAAAAGATGTAAGAAACAATTTGAGAAGCAACAGAGAAACAACTGGGCACTGCTAGAATTAATGTATTGGACGGGCAAAGGCAATTAGATGGGATAGAATGGCAAGCCTAGTATTGAGCATATAGTAGCACCAGAATAGTAATAGATAGAGATGCATCCAAGGGTTCATACTGCATCTACATGATTCGATAGGGAATCTGCATTTATGCATCAATATCAAGCTTCCCAAGCTCCTGAGCAAGCACAAGAATGAATCAATCAACAAATTGGGCAATTCATGGTTGAGTTGCTTGGATATTTCGGAATTAGATGTGCGCATACCATCCATTACTTACCGGACCCCAATCCCGTATGAATATATCCAATTCCGTAAAGCTCCCCGAATGTCATCGAGATCCCACAATGGAGCCGTGTCTATGACTTTGTGTGTGGTTTGCATAGAAGAGCAAAGCGTTGATTGGATACTTCAAAAGGCTGTATACTCTAGGGATGAAGTTATGAGGGCGAGGCACATGCCTTCGGCTTCTCTTTGGATGAAAATCGATGAAAATCGATGGATATTACTTGGATTAGAAACATTATCGACCTCGAAGTGTGTTAGGATGTAACTTCTTAAATGCCATAACTGACGAGAATTTCATATAGTGGGCTGATTTTCTGATGTTTTCATGCACGTTCCTCAATGTCCCATCGAAACTTAGCCAACCAACCAAGCCTTACAAACCACCGTGGTGCACCCATGCATGTTAACACTAGGAAGAAGTAAGAAAGAACTGGAGTGGCTCAGTGGCTATTCTAAACCAACCACTTCGATCCTAATTCGTTTAGTTATGTAACCTAAATCCCCTTATTGATAGAACGGAGCGAGCCGGATCAGCCTTAATTAACTGTTCCGGGTGCTTATTAAGGACCATTTTATCCTTACAGTCCTTACAGTCCTTACAAAGGTTGGAAGGGTAATTAATGTAAACCCCACTTTTACTAAAATCTTACTGTTTTTATAGATTTTACTGCTACTTTAAGCGATTCGAATAAATATTGAACTATTCCCCCCAAAATTCAATCTTTAAAACTTTTACTTGCTTTTTATCAATTCTAATAGTTTTTTAGTATTTAAAGTATTTAAAGCTTCTAATAGATTTTAAATAAATTCTAGATAAAATTTCGAATCAATATTCAATAAGAAATTAGTAATTTTGAATAAATCATAAATAAAACATAACTTTTACAATACTTCCACTACCTAAAATTCACCATATAAATTTTCAACCAGCAACGTGATTCTATTAATCCAAAGACCAAAAGTG